AATGTATTGCAGAGGTTTGTGACACCAGCTAAAAAGTTTCAGGCAATAATTTTTTAATCAGGTAAATTTGCATTCCACACCCCCCCAAACGAGGCTTGCCTCGCGACGGCCCTGCCTGCTATATGGGGCAAATCGAATTTTTTTTCTGTCGGCAATTTGACACATCCAGCGTCGGCAGTTACGGAGAATATAAACTTCGGCACCTTGAAGGTTTGTCTCTAGCGCCACCCCTGGATATAAAGCAGTTTTGTGATATCAAATTCGTTATAACGTTAAGTGAATCCATTTTGAAATGTCTATAGATAACATTGGTATTAAATTGTTTCAAGTTTAAAATCATACGGTATGTTCCGTCAGGTTTCGGGGCTAAGAATATTGGCGAGACAATTTCACGGGGTTCAGACATAGCCTTCTCCAAGACACCTTTGGAGAGGAGAGATAAAATCTCTGCTTTGATAATTTCTTTTTCAGTTGTACTGAAATTTGTGGGCTTATAAGGTACCTGAACAGGAGTCGTGTCACATTCAATGTGAACCCCAGAAATAGAAGAGGGTATTTCATTGTCTCTAGTTAATTGTTTCCATTGAGAAGTGTATGTTGCAACCCTGCCAGCTTTAAACTTTGTACATTCGCAAGTAAGAAAATTGGTTAACATTGGTAGAAATGAGAAAAATTCACTTACAGTTGAAGTATTTGCTAATGTTTTCAGGACTGTTTCCATCGACGGTGTGGTGTTTGGTTTTGATGGTTCTGGGAGGGCTTAAAATGTTTGCTGTGGCATGGCCAAGGAGTGCAGTGTTTTGTAAAACAATAATGGCAAAAACAATATTGGCAACTTTTCTAACGTTTGTTGCAAGTCAGCCAAGCGAAGATCGTGTTGTTTTTTATCCACAGACAAATTTAACCATGCCTCTTTGTTTACCTTAACAGAAAAAAGGTTTGTGCAGTTCTCAGGGCGGTTATATTTCTCAAGTATAGGAGAAGGTTTCTCTGAGGGGAGAGCCTTACCCCAACGCGAGTTTAATAAAGAGGCTAGTTTGGGGTCGCCATTATCAGCAACATCTGATGGAGTTCCAAGTGCTTGGGCAAGCTTATCAAGTAGTGACTTTTCGTCGACTGTTGGCTTCCTTCGATTTTCGTTCGATAAAAGGTCGTTAAAGTGCCACTGAACTGAAAAAATCAAAATTTTTTTATTGATGTTCTAAGTCAAGTCGGTGCTCCTGAATCCGATGTTGAAGTTCGCTTTTCGGAATTGTAAAGTGTTTTGAAGCTACAACGCTTCAAAGTTGCGATTTTCAAGACTTTTTGTGCGAAAATTTGTGCGCGGTCTGTGAGGAATTTCAGGAACGTTTATAAGTCGCGGAAGTGATGCGGGCTTCAGTACTGAAGACTGTATTTCGAGTGCGATAAAATACCAAAAAAACGTGAAGTGGATGGAAATAGTGCGATACTTGTGCTCTAAATATCACTAGCTATCTAACTACAAGACATGTGCAAGGTATTATCTTACGAAAAATTCGAGCCCATACGAAATAAGCAAACTTTTTGCGTGCAGTTTTTACCAAGACTTCATGCCGATCATTTACCTTTTGTGAATTATTGAGCGTATCGAGTAAGAATGCTTTTACGAACAGCTTTACAAATTATGAATAAAAGTGAGCAAACTGATCAAGGGAAAAAGTTGATCTATTATAGAACCACACAAATTGCACATTTTTCGGCGCTTTTCCCACTTTCCAACTTGCGTTGCCACTGTCAAAGCATCAGTTATTGCCAGGGCCGTCAAGATGAGATAAGTTGCCCCAGAACCTCGTGGTCAGGGGACCTCAAAAAGTAAAGAAGTTTATTTTAAATGGAATTGATTAAAAGTCCATAAGTAGCACGGTGGGATATTTTTAAGCTTCTATTCATACCCCATCTTTTTGGCGTATCAAACTGCCTATCTCTATCAAGTTTCATGCTGGTATCACAATCTAATGGTTAAATTGTGACAATTACTGCTAAGAGGTTTGGAATCTAGTATCCCAGTCTATAAATAGCACAAGGGAAATTTTTCGGCGTCTATTCGCATCCTATCCTTTTCAGCGTATCAAACTGCTCATCTCTACAAAGTTCCATGCTGATGTCGCGATCTAAAAGTTAAATTATGACACCCTTACTCCATCACTCCTTAGAGGTCTGGGACCTGGTACCCCAGTCTATAAATAGCATAAGTGGTATTTTTTAGCGTCTATTCGCTTCCTATCTTTTTTGGCGTATCAAACTGCCTCTTACTACCACGTTCCATGCTGGTATCGCGATCTAATGGCTAAATTATGTCAATTACTGCTTAGAGGTTTGGAACCTGGTACCCCAGTCTATAAATAGCACAAGGGGGATTTTTCAGGGTCAATTCATATCCTATCTTTTCGGCGTATCAAACTGCCTCTTACTACCACGTTCCATGCTGGTATCGCGAATTTATGGCATTTATGCTGGCGTTAAATCAAATGATGAAACAAGAAAAAACTTGACTGTGGAGAAAAGGACTAAAGTTATATAATATAGATTAGCTGTTGTCCGTAAATTGTATTTTGTTAATTTGTTGTTAGAGTAAGATTCCTTTCTGATGCACAAAACTTGGCTGTTTTTTATCTTTCTATTTCTTAACTGCTTTGTTCCTGCAGTGTTTCAAAAGCTAATTGTGACGGAGATGTGATATGTGGACCT